TATATATAGTGTGTGTGTGTGTGTGTGTGTGTGTGTGTGTATATATATATATATATATATATATGTGTGTGTGTATGTATCCAATAATTTTGGCTCCTTGGCAGAGGTAATATACGGTGCACATGTTGTCAACATGCCTCCATGTGACCCACGGCACAATTCAAGCCGCCTTCCAAGCTCGACGGCCCGCTGTGCTCATAAAGTCACACAGCAGAATACAATACATGCTCTCCACTGTTATTATATATGATTATTATGATTATGATTATAGGCTGCCGCCTGGACAAAAAAAAAAAAAAAAAAAAAGGGGGGAAAAAAAAACCCAAAGCAGGACATGATGTGCTTGGCCATCGTGTTGCACGCGTTGGAAATGCTTTTGTGTGATAGGAAGCAAATGTCCAGCCAGGCTGTGAAGGCACCGTTTTCATATTTGACCTAAATCGCTGCCTGGTGATTTTTGAAGTATTTTCGGCCAACCATAAAGTGATAATGGCAACATATTATACGGTTTGTCCAACAGCAACCGTATCGATACATGCTGGTATCGCCATACACGGTGATATCTGTCCAGCACCACCATGCAGAGAATGTGTGTTTCTTTTCAGTACCTTGGAGATATCAGGTCATGCTAATATCAAATATCCGTCCGTTCGTGATGATACGGTAAATGATAGTCATTGTCCCATTTCAAAAAGAATGATTTATGCGGCACAGTGGACGACTGATTGAGACATCTGCCTCACAGTGCAGAGGATCTGGGTTCGAATCCGGCCGTGGCTTCCCTGTGCGGAGTTTGCATGTTCTCCCCGTGCCCGCGTGGGTTTTCTCTGGGTACTCCGGTTTCCTCCCACATTCCAAAAACATAAAAGGTCGTTTATTGAACAAGGAAAAATTGTTGGTGGTGTGATTGTGAGTTTGAATTTTTATTTGTCTACGTGCCCCGTGATTGGTCGGCGACCAATTCAGGGTGCAACCCGCCTACTGCCCGGAGACAGTTGGGATAGGCTCCAGCACACCCGTGATCCTTGTGAAGATAAAGAAAGCGTTATGCGAAAAAAAAAGGGAGAGAAATAAAAAGGATTTGTTTTCAGTACCTTGGATAGCACCCATGCTTCAATGGTCGTGCTGATATAAGATTTTGATGTCAGATATCCATACTGCATGCGATACATGGTGATATATTGTTGCCTTTTTTTCACTTTCTGACTCTTGGAGAGTTTGGTGTAACAAAATAGGTCATGCGGTACAGTGCCTTCAAACCGAAGAAAATATTGAAATCATGATACCGTTTTGTTATACCAACAAATACCTATTGATCTATACTTCAGTGTGATACCTGGAAATATGATAGTTTTGTATCGCCAGATAATTCTTCTGCTGGATAACCTTGGAGAGCTTAGCTGTTGGGACAAGTAAAAATATCTATCCCACTACAGTATCGATATACAAATATCAGGTATCGACACTGCCTTGCAGGAGATAATGACCTGATATGTGGTGGTATGGAGAATGATTTATTTTTTTATTTTTTCAGAACCCTTGCAAAAGTAGTATTGCCATCAAGAATCGATTCACCAACATCAAATATCTGTCATGTGCTGCAACAGATAATGATGCGATACATGCTGACATTGATATTTTGTCCCAACAAGAGAATGAATTTGCAATATCTTCCGCACTTTCGATGGGACCAAATATTGATATTGCAATTATGACATCAACACACCTCCATCTATCTCCCACTTGTCCCCTCGCATAACTGTGGTCATGCATCACAATCCTTTTTTTTTTGTTGGGGGGCTGGGTGGGGGGTATTATATCGTTTTTGGGCCGTATCGCAAAACAGCTCTACTGCTTCAACCACACTGTCGTGTTTCTTAATCCTGCTTTGAAGACATTTGTGTGAAAGTGCCGCCACATGACTCCGGAGCGCCACATCGTCATAAATCATCATCCTAAATCACTCCGAACGCTGTGCGTGAGCGCGTGTGGATGTGTGCAAGCCGACATGTGGCGTGCAATTGAGCCGCGCGCTGGGCTACGCCAGTCCAGACTGTCACTACTGGCATGCGAATGCAACACATCTCCGCATTATGATCAGCTGTCACACAAAAACACACACAGGTCTACGGAGATACATTGGAACAAACTTACCCGCGTTACTTCCCAGGCGAAAAAAAATATGTATTTAAAAAAAGATGCCAAAAGAGTCCAAGTGTGACACTCCCCGTGCGCTTCTCAGCTCCGTGTGCGTGTGTTTTTTGGATTCCCAAAGTGTCAGCAACGGTTCGCCATCCTCCGGGCTCCACTCTCTGCAGCTTCTTCTCTCCTCCTCCTTCTCTTCCTCCTTGTAGTCGCGGGCTTCTCTCTTCCCTTTCGTCGTCTTGGTCTGAGAGCGCCGCGCACCTCCGCCGCCCTATTTCAAGCGCGCTGCCGCGCTGACGTCAGCAGGAAGGGAGGAGGGAGAAGACGCGGGGCAACACAGGCGCATGCTGGGGTGGAGAAAGACACAGGAAAGGGGAAAATAATGAAATATTGGTATGAAAAATAGAATTGTATACCGTGTGTGTGTGTGTGTGTGTCTGTGTGTGTGTGTGTGTGTGTGTGTGTGTGTGTGTGTGTGTGTGTGTGTGTGTGATAGATCGATAGAAATACGTCCAAAATAGTCACTTTTCAGCAGACCCCCAAAACGGTGTGTGAGTTCAACCATTCAAATTGCATCATCAAAGACAGCAACACTTGTGATTCTTCAATATGTCATAAAATTCATACTTGCGTGTGCACTGACCAATAAGAAAATTTTTTGAAAAAAAACCCCAAAGAAACTAATTTGGACTTCTGAGTTTTCGGCCTGATGCCAGCAATATGTTAAAATAAAATAAATAAAAAATCTGCTATCAAACTTGCATATATGTCATTAATCATTGACACTCAATGTAACATTTATCAAGACAAGACGATGAGAGGAAAGTCAGTCGGAGAACTTGCAACAGTTGCCGTGTAAGATAGCGAGCGATCAAGTGAGAGTGCTTATCACGCACTTTTCCGTGAGTTTCGCTCTGCCGCTAACGATTACATTTTTTTTTTTTTTTTTTAATAAATTAAAAAAACGGAGGCATTTATAGCGGTTGTGAACGGGCTTAATGGCGGGCATTGTTTACATGCGGCAGGTGCGACGGTTAAATTGGGGGGGGGAGTGTGAGTCTTGCGCAAGACCCCCCATCTGTGCGCCAATTAACTGTCAACAATTGTGTGCTTGTGATCACCAGGAAATTGAAATTTACCAGAGCAGGTTGGCGCTACATGTGATCAAACTTGAGGAAGCTGCGCATGCAGCACATGAGCAGACTTTGATGAAGCAGCATGTGGCTCGTCACCATAGGTGACGCTCAACAATTGTGTTTGTTATCTTGGGTAGGGACGATCGATACGGAGTTTTTGAGGCCGATACTGATTCCGATATATGGCAAAAAAAAAAAGAAAGCTGAGAACTGATTAATCGGTTATTATTTATAGTCGTGACAGAGAGTTAGGGGGCGTGAAATGTTTTCTTCTGAGGGGGCGTAACACAAAATAATTGAGAAGCACGGCCGTATGCCAAAGTAACAGCCAACAATTGTATGTTTTGTCATCACGTTCAAGCGTGCTACCACACGCACGGATCTCCGTGTTTTCTTCGAAAATACTGCCATAGCCACAGAGAAGCAACGGCAACTCCTTAACTCGCGATCCATACTATTGACAAAAAGCACACGTGATCAATTCATAAGAGCAAGCAAGCTGGAGGAGATGGCTGCAGGCACGCCCCGAGTAGCGAATCAATGGCGCCTAAATGGCGCAAACACGACGGCGCGCTGCAGGGGAGCTGAGGAACCGAGCGTGTCGGCTTTCCCCGGAGCCGCGCCGCCGGCTACGAAATTCCAGATCACCGCTAACAGCTAGCGGTCGTCATTAGCCGGGCCCATCGGCCGCTTAGCAGTGTTTGCACTAGCGGCCATACATCAGAAACATAATATCCTGCGAGCCCACCGGGCATATGTCGGCACTAAATAGGTCTCCTTGGCATATCTGCCGCTGCTTCGCTGACGGCCAGTCGTAACTCGTCTTTATGCGCTCGCGCCCGCCGCCAGCGTGCATGATTCACGCGCAGAGACCGGCGACATTAGCGCCCGATGTCAGCGTGGCCGTGAAACACGGCACACGAGATAGCGCGTGGTCAAAATTACAAGGCGAGCCGTGGTCGGATCGATACGGATATTGATAGCGGTCGATACCAGCGTAATGAGATGAATACTTTTAGTTTCACTCCTGCGTTTTGTCAAAGGTAGGAGAGTATTGAGTTGAACTTTCCACATGCATGCAATAAATGTACATATTGAAACAAAAGCACAAACAACACGCGAGTAAAAAAAAATATAATAATCTGATTACAAATCAATTTGTCAGATTGAAATCATTCACATCTGTTGTGTCCACATGTTCCACATCGATCATGAAAAGGTTTCAATTGGACAGTGGACATAATCTTCATCGTTATTAAAATGCCAGTGAAAAAAAACGGTTTTCATCTGTATGAGTGTCTGCACAAATGACAGGAGAATATCCAGCGGAGGACGATGAGTCCCCGTGGCATTTCGGGCCGGCGCCATTTAGCTCCTTAATACCTCCGACGTGGACCATCAGCCTGAGGTCACTTAAAAGGCGGAGGAGTGGGGGGGAGGTAGAAAAAAAAGTTAGATCACGATCTTCCTGACTGTTTGCGGCAGCATTTTCAACATTTTTCTAGGTCACCGTTCTGCATAAACACCACACGGGAGACGCCAAATTATGTTATGAGCTTGGCACGCGGTGTTCCTGCGTGAAAGTGGCCATGTCACCTTTGCTAGATTCTGTGTGAAACATAAAGACGTCACTACCCAACATCATAAGCCAGAACAGGTTCTATCATCATCTAACATAATCTGAATGCGGGATGCTGTGTTTCTATGTGAAAGTAACTATATGTCACCTTCACTGAGTTCTGTGTGAAATCCAAAGCAATGTTGTCGTACAACGATGCTTTGGAAAACCTGAACACTGTTCAGGAACTAATATTTTACATATGAGAACATAGAGCTGAAATCATCCGAACATCTGATTGTGGGATGCTGTGTTTCAGTGAGAAAGTGGCTCGTAAGATGTTTTCATTACATTCTGTGTGAAACCGAAAATTTCGCTTTCTACAAGTCACATTCGATGCCGATGTTGTCAAACATCGGATTTTGGGACGCGATGTTGCATTGTGTTGACTGCAGGACGCTGTGTTTCTGAATGAAAGTGGTCATATGCCTCCTTCGCTGCGTTTGTGTGAAAGGCAGAGACTTGACCTGCGAAATTTTTCTGTTCCAGCTCTGATGCTGCAATTTGAAGGGCTCTCTGTGTGAAAAAGACACGAATATCACTTTTTTCATAACCTATTCAGATTCTGGGTGTGCACTGCCAGGATTGATGATGATTGGCATTGGCGTGGTGTACAAATACGGGTCGGCGTGCGTCCCTGCCAAAACGGCCAGAAGGCGATCAATAGCGCTGATGTGCATCTGGGTGATTACGTCTGACCCGCAGCCCGTTCTGCAACCATCCTTGTTAGTTACTCGTCACTCCCGCTGCAATTAATACGCAAACGTGAAGAATAGGCCACCGTTCGGTTTCATCACAGCAGATCGGTCGCCGTCGGGCGGGAAGCAATTTGCAGAATTGGAGCTGCCACTTTGTCGTGGCAGGCAGCAATGCAGTTGTTATTCATAATCTATTAAAGGATTTCTTTTGGTTTTTTTTTTTTTTTTTAGCTCTGCCAAAGGCAAATTTTGTAGACAAAAATCCAATTTGAATTGAAATTTAACACAATGCGGGCACATAAACCACACTCAAATTATGACTATATACTGGATATTGGGGGGTTGAAACAAATCATGTGGAATGATATGGAATCTTTTAAACTTCTGATGGTGGTTGCCCAAACAACGCCCTGATCACAAGAACTCCACAAGAAGCTTCCAAATTGCAGGTGATACATTTTCGTGCCAAAAAAAAAAAAAAAAGAAAAAAAGAAAGAAAAATCCAATTGTCATCTCATCATGTTTAATGGCTTTGCGGCGAGCTTCATTGGCATGTTAATGAAGTGCATTCAATAGGTTAATCTAATAAAGTGCTGGCAGTGCAATGGGCAATTTTTTCCACAGGCGAGGTGCGTGCCACGCGTGAGCCGCTCCACTGGAAAATGATGGATTTCTTTCATCCAATCCGAGTGATCGGTCGCGCTCTCAAAACGAGCTGAAAATACCACAATACGCCCACACATGCCGCTCACCCTATCTTCACCCCCCCCCGCCGCCGCCGCCGCCACGGCCAAATGATCAGACCACCAGGAGGATGACTTTTGGCCATTTGGGCACGGTGTAAATGAGGGACTTTTCAAGACTGTTTACACACAACGTTTGTAGGCACATTCCTCCGAGTTAAATTTTGCACCCGCCGGCGCTCAACGGAATCTTTTGAAACGGAAATTTGGTTGTCATGTTTACCTTGAATAGATCCGAAAAAAAAAAGAAAAGAACACACAGGAAGTCTGCCATTTTGGATTGAAGCTGACATTCGAGGATCTAACTCTTATCCGATTGATACCAAATTGAAAAACCTTTCACTGGTGTCATCGGTGGGTGTGGGCGGAGCATGGCGCTAGGTGATTTGTGCACAACAACAAAACTGTCATCGGTGGGTGTGGGCGGAGCATGGCGCTAGGCTGTCGTGACTCGATCTCTATCGCCACAACTATCGATTGTGCAGCAGTTGACTATTGTGTCCCGTATTGAAAGCACATCAAACACACCGACAGTGTCAATCGGCTCGGCTTGAATGTAGTAAATAGCGTTATGTTCTCATATTAACGTTCAATACAAAATCATCTTGCCGGCTTTACGGTGTTTTGGTTCAAAGTATCCCAATAACGTCCCCTTCCTTGCCCCTCCCCCCGCCTCCAAAATGGAACGCATGTCTTGGCGAGCCGATTGGTCGCAGATGAAATGTCACTCAAGTGTCAGCCGCAAGGCAGCGGCGAGCAAATTGAGATAAAACAAATCATATATTGCCGCGGGGGCCGACACACGCGGGACAAATCTGAATCTTCCTCAGCGCGCCGCCATGCAATCATCGCAATGCAAGCGCTCTCATGTGACATTTCACAGCGCATCAAAACGTCGGCGCGTTGGATCACGTCATTTCTGCACGGAATGTCACACGCGTTGCCGTCTCATTTTTATGTCCTTTCAAATTGCTCTCGCTCGCTGACGCCGCGCGGTTGCCGAATTGGCCAAAGGCGGCCATGACGGTGAGCGCTGATTGCTGGCCGCGATTAGATTGGACACACTTTCATAC